GCTATAGCGATGAAGAGGCAGGTCTAGTTGGGCCCAAGTAAGCCCTGGGTCCTGAAGCCCTTAAAACCCAAAACCCCTAAAAACCCAAAACCCCTAAACCCCTATGAAACAACACCCAAAAAAAGCTCCTTAGGGTTTAGGGTTTTTTTAAAGTGCACTGGACTTGCGAACCTTGCGGCCCCAGGTTGTGAAATTCCTTTGGGGTGTGTGTACAGCTGTACACCCGCAGTGTGTGCCCGAATTGGGTTTAGGGTTTGGGGTTTAGGGTTTAGAGTTTAGGGTTTAGAGTTTAGGGAAAACTAAGCTCCTTACGGCTTCTGATTAAACATCTTCTTTTCGTGTCCTCAAGAGCCTCCGAAAATTCCTTAATTAGGGTTTAGGTGTGAGGGTTTTGGGTTTAGAGTCGATGACCGCGAATCCAAAAACCTGATACCCGAAATTTCCCATACCCTAAAACTTTATGCCCCCAGAAACACAACAGCCTTCAGGCGAAGAACCTTGCCGTCGATGAGAACAATGAACGAGGCACAGGCTTAAACCGAAACTGCCCCGGCGGGTCCCCCCCCTCGGGCGATAACTACAGTTGATGATATAAATCCTGCATAAGGAATATACCGTAACTCCCATGGTTTAGGGTCGTTAAGGTCATGCAGGATTTATCATATCATCAACAGTATCATTTGTCACCTCATTGTCTCCAAAACAGAATGGGCGAGCATCCCGCGCGCTTCGGCGAGGAACAACTCGCCATCTTTCAGCACGTGTCGAAGATGATCGAGGCATCTAGCTGAGACCCACTATATGCTACTATTTTGGTCCCCAATGCCACATTGAGCATGTTCTTTGTTTAACCCATTTCCTCCAAAAAACCCTAGACCCTAAACCCTAATAGTGTTAGTATATATGACACTTCAAGAGCATTTAAATAAATCAGCTACGAGCCCATTAAGCTTCTACTACCAAGCACAGACCAGGGTTTGGGGGTTAGGGTTTACCTAGAACTCCAAACCCGGAATCCTTGAAGCACCCTATACCCCATAAACTGTAAACCCTAGACCTTAAACCCTAATCCCTAAACCCTAAACCTTAAACACTAAACCTTAAACCCTAAACCTCAGCCTTTAAAAAAAGACTGCTATACACCAAACCTTCTCGACATCCTAACTCATAGACCCCTTGAAGAGGACCCCTCTACTCAAAGGATCAGAGGGTTTGAACGAGGCCACTGTACTTATTATAGCTATTAGCTATATGCGGTACTTATATCCTTAGTTCCCGCGTCCCATGATACTCCAAGTACAGCCCTATGGCCTGAAACCACTTTGTAGAGCCGCCTTACCCCCCCTCCCTTCAAATAACCCTGTGAGTTTACTAAGTCCCATGATCCTCCAGGGTTTAGGGTTCAAGGGGGATCGCTTGAGTCTCCTCGAAGTTGGGAACAGACTGCGCTGCTGTCTCCACCGAAGTCTCGGCTCCTCGAATCGAAAGCAGAGCAGAGAGGTGGGGGGGGGTGGGGAGGGGGGTGGGGGGTGGGGGGGTGGGGGGGGGGATGATGACGAGGGTTTTACGGATTAGAGCTTGGGGCCGTTTTGGTTTCAGGTAGGGCCCGTAATAATTAGAATAGGTTTTGGGCCCCCTTGTAGTGTAACAGTGACAAGGAACGCCAAGGACTAATGTTGGCAATTACTTAGGCTTCTAGAGTACCCTAACGGTCCATGAACCCAAATAGACCTACTTTGGCCTTAAAGTACTCCCTATTTGGGTACTTTGGGGCCAAAGCATATACTAACTGGGTACATGGACCCTTAAACCCTAAACTGCCCTAAACCCTACACAACCCTTCTAGTAGCCCTTGTAGTAGCCCTTCAAAGAGCCCTTCCTTAAAGGTACATGGACCCTTAGGGTACAGTAGAGACTTAGGGTTTAGGCTTCCGGGTTTAAGGATCCGAAACCGCTTGGACAAGGACTCAGAGCTCTGGCTTTGAGGGTTTCAAGGTGTTTACACTTCTTAACCGCTTAGCTGAGAATCGAGGGCTGTCAGGTTGAGGGATTTGTAGGGTTTAGGGTTTGAACCCTAAACCCTAAACCCTAAGCCGTAAACCCTACACCCCAAACCCTAAACCCTAAACCCTAAATATATTTCAGGGTTTCGACTTTGTAATGTAAACCGCTTAGGACCTAGGAAGTGAGGGTGTGGTGTGAAGCTGTTGCGCTTTGACTCAGCTACTCTCATGCGCTCTCCGCGCCAGCAGTGCGGACTTTTCCTGGCAGCTTATCCCAAGGAGTCTCAAAGAGTAAATAGCCCTACAAAAATACGGTTGATGATATACATCCTGCATTACCCATACTAAGGAATATACCGTAATTCCCATAGTCTTAGGGTGCTTAAGGAAATGCAGGATTTCTATCATCAACCGTATGAAACCCGAAACACCCCAAAAGCAGCCGAAGCCCAGGGCCGAAATTCTAAGCCCAAGTGGCCCAAGCCCATAATCCTAAACCCCCAAATTCCCTAAACCGTAACAAGCCCTAACCCTAAGGCTCTAAGGACTCATATTTTAAGGCGTTTGGGTCTAAAGACCATACTACACAAGGCTTTTTGCTGTTTCGAGCCTTAGGGTAAGGGTCCATGTACCCAATGAAACAGATAATTATACTTTGGCCTTGAAGTAGTCCCCATTTGGGTACGTTGGGGCCAAAGTATATACTGTTTGGGTACATAAACCCCTTAGGGAAGGCCACCGTTGACACATAGCCCCGCTCTACGCCCCAAACACCAGAAAAAAATAGCTAAAGCTCTGGTCCTGCATCCCAAGCGTTTTTGAGCTGTTCCTTTTGGGGGTGATCTGTTCTATGGGAGCTTAGGGTATACAAGTCCATATGCCGATAATAGTACCTACTCCGACCTCAAAGTATCTCAATAAGAAGCCCTTTGAGGCCAAAGTTATCTACAGCCCTAAATTAAAGGAAACTTCAGGTGGGGAGTGTAGGGTATATAGAGCTTCTATAAGGCTTCTATAAGGTATATAGACCTTCTATAAGGCTCCTATACCGGTAACTACCCACCTGAAAATGTCCTAGACGAAACCCTGAAACCTAAACCCTAAACCCTAACTAACCCCTAAATTCCCTAAACCCTAAGGCCATAAACCCTAAAGCCCTAAGCCCTAAAGCCTACCAGAGGGCTGTTGGGGGACCCTCGGCTCCTCCAAGTCACCACGGATCCATCCAACAAGATGGCGGCGAAGGCATGCCGGGAAGCGCCTTCTACAAGGTTTAGGGTTTAGAGGGTGTTGAGGTTTTGAGGGTTTAGGGCTCTTGTTTAGGGCTTAGGGTTTAGGGCTCTTAGGGTTAAGGGTTTAGGGTTTAGGGCTCTTGTTTAGGGTTTAGGGTTTAGGGCTCTTAGGGTTAAGGGTTTAGGGTTTAGGGCTCTTAGGGGCTTAGAGTTTTAGGGCTTGGGGGTTTAGGGTTTAGGTTTTAGGGGTTTAGGATTTAGGGGTTTAGGGTTCAGGGTGGGCCCGAATGGTTTACGGCTTTCTAACCTTATAAGGCTTTTTAGGTTCAAGGGTTGCGTTTGGGATCTGCCCCAATGATCCTATTTTGCGCGTTTTAGGTTTATCTCGGTTTAGGGTTTAGGGTGTCCGGAATCTTTGAACGAGAATGCTTGAGTGTCTTTGTAACATACCAGAAGCCAGAGTTTAAAAACAAATCAGAGTTTTGGAGGGCTTCGGGGCTCCGGGGATATTAGGGCCCTTTGCATCTAGGTTCGGGTTGCAAGAATAGAGCGTTCGAGTTTAGCTAGCGTGCCGCGAGATGTGTCATATTGGCAGTGTTGTCAAGACAAGTGATTGTGCAACCTCGCGAAATTTTTCTATTACATTTAGGACCCATGTGCCTCAGTACGTCGCTTATGTGCGCGAATGTAGGAATTTAGGCTCTAGGGGTTTACAGTTCCGGGCTTAGAGTTGCATGCCTTGTAGTGTTTGGCTAGTAAGAGGCGTGCCGGATTTGGAGGTATCAGTGTTCATGGTTTACGGCCTTGGCGTTTGAGCCCTAAACCCTAAACCCTTGCTTAGGATGCAGGGCTCAGGTTTAAGGCTGCGGGTTTTTGGGAGCGTGGGGCTTGACCGAAGTCTCTACCACGGTTTAGGGTTTTAGGGTTTGGGGATTTAGGGTTTAGGGCTCTTAGGGATTAGGGTTTAGGGCTCTTAGGGTTTAGGATTTAAGGGTTTGGGGGTTTAGGGTTCTGGTTCAGGACAAGTTTGCAAAATGATGATCATGATGACTGTGTGAGGTTTTCGGCATCTGGGCAACAGGCCGTCATTCTCGATGCCTGCAGCCTAATCCCCACGCCAAGCTGAAAATCCAAAGCCCTAGAGTCCATCTGAACCACATTTAGTCTTTCAGGACCTCTAAACCCCCAAACCCTCAACCCTAAACCCTAAGACCTTAAACCCTAAACCCTATAAACCCTGCAGATCCCATGTGGGATGCCTCTGCTTCTTCAAAGGTCTACTCCCTCAACTAAGAGGGTGCGTTCGGGTGCAAACTTTACAGTCCAGGCATGGCGTGGGGCTTTAGGGCTTCTTTCGTTTAGGGTTTGGGGTTCAGGTTCTTTTACGGTTTAGGGTTTCTTGCCTTAGGGTTTACAGGGTTTAGGTTTTCTTAGAGTTTTTCGGCACGAGCCTACACGGGGCGAAACCGTTGCCCTGCGTGGGGAGCAGGGTGCTGATCGTGCCATGGACACCTCACTCTTACAATCCTGCCCTTGGTGGGCTGATCTTCGATCGCTGTTCACATTTGCTTCGGAATCCCTGGATTGCTTACATGGTCAGTGTGCATGTTTTGATCTCGAACTGAATGGGGCTCCGATCTTTACTGATGATTCAGTCCTCGTCAGGGTTATCGTGAGACAACAGCTTACTGCTAGGGTTGCGGATGGTGCTGTACATGATGCTGCACCCGCTGCTCCCAATACCAAAGCAGTCTTGCGGATGAGGATGGAGGACTGGGCCGCCATAGGCACAAACTGCTCACGAGTGCGCGCACTGTGGACCCAGGTTTGTATTAATGAGCAGGTGGTAATCCTGGATGCCACCCGAGGCCCGGCATTCTTGGCTTGTACAGTTGCAACCAGGCAGGACGAAACGCTGCAGATGGTCGAGCTCTTCAGTGGGGGTTTCTCGGGTTGGTCTCAGGCTGCTTGGGCTATTCGTGAAATGGGGTACCCTGTCAACACGTCATGGTTGCTTGACATCGAGGACTCATATGACAAGCCAATACAGGCACAGGATAGGACTACCCAGATTGTCCGAACAGTAGCTGACCTTGCTGAAGCTGATTTCTCGCGTGGACCGGTTGCAATTTTTGCGAACATTGAGCATCAATGGTGGCACCGAGCCTGGATTCGGGCCCCTCCGCAATTGCTAGTTGCATCGCCACCTTGTCAGCCGTGGTCCTCCGCAGGGCAGCAATCAGGCCTTGCTTCGCCGGATGGACGCCTGGCTCTGTTGCTAGCTGCTATTTGCCGGGTGACACAGGTGCCTGTGGTGTGTCTTGAGGAGGTTCAGGGTTTTCGTTCGCACCCTGACTTTTCCACCGTGATTGAGGCCTGGAAGGAAGCGGGCTATGAATGCGTGAGCCAACAGTCACTTCAGTTATCGGAGGTCGCCCCGACATGGCGCCGACGGTTCTTTTTGATCTTCTGCCACGTACAGCACCGACCTGAGGCCCAGCTCCCGCTGCAGGTGTGTCAGTGGCTGCCTCACCCCAGACCCAGCTTGGCAGGGCAAAAGGCATACTTTCCAATCCTGCCGGCGCAGCTCTTAAAGCATTGTCAGCTTACGGAGGACTTGTTGTCCTTCTATCTAGATCCCTGGTACTTGCCGCCGGGTCACCCGCAAGACCATGCCGCCGTCTGTCGATTCAGGTTGTGCCTTCCTAGTCAGCAGTCTAAGTGCTTCATGGCCACATATCATAGACAGCATGAACTACCGGAAGGCATGCTTGCCAGGTCTGGCTTGCTGTGCAGCCTGCTTAAGGTTGGGGATGGGATTCGGTTCTTTAGTGCCCCGGAGATTGCGTCGTGCCACGGTGCCCTGCGGCCCCAGTTTCTCCCGGCATGCGACCAAACAGCGATGACGATGCTTGGAAACGCCCTTGCCACGCCTCAGGCGGCAGTTGTGCTGGCACATGCGTTGCAGCTCTTCCTGAAGCCGGGCCACCGCCCAGACCCGGCTGAGGCCGCCGCGTACTGCGTCAACCGTGCAATCAACTCTGGCAACTCAGTCCTGGCCAGAGTCACTGGGGGATGGATGCTTGTGCACGTGACCGAGGTTGGACAAATCATTGCGAGCTCCCACCTCCGGGCTCAGCTTGAGGGCCTTTTGCAGAGTGCTGCTGCTTCCTTTTATGCGCTCTCCCTCGGGTTCGGTCGAGAGGCCGATTTCGTCGAACAGGCGCGGATCCACTGCTCGACCCATGTAAACCTTGCTGAGGCGATGCGACTGCTCCGGCTTGAAGTCGACGAAGTCCCCCAGGGCCCCATGCGTGCCCGAGAGTGTTGTCAAATTGGGGTTGAGGCGGTGCCTGTCGTGCCCTTCCAGGCTGACGTTCCACGTACCTCGGTGTGCTCCGGCCCTATTTTGCTGTGCACACCCACAGGGACCATCATCGTTCAAGCAGGTGTGCCAGATTGGTTGCAGCAACTCAAGTGGGCTTTTGACAAGTGTCGCTCCTTCAACCTTGGGGTTGTTTGCCTCACGTGTTTTGGTGAGAGACTGACATGTGTCTCCAAGTTCCCGCCGGTTGTCTTCATTGCCACTGAGGCGGATGACCTGCACTATTCGGCACCCTCTTTCTCCCGTGAGCAGGTGAGGGCTTGCCGTCTCTGCTCAAATGGAGGTCAACTTGTTTTGTCAATCGCCGCTGAGCATGCACTTACTTGGTGGATACAGGCCCCGTCCCACCTTCTGGAGTGTCTGGGATGGCAGCTGATATCAGGCGACATGCCCACTGAGGCGGGCCAAACGTTTCAGTTGTCTCTCCAGGCCACGGGTAGCACGCCACCAGTGCCTCTGTGTGAGCTACGCTCCTACCTACGTGACCTCCTTTTCCTTGCGCAGCTGCGGCATTCGACTGCTGCCGCGGAGTTGCTCTTGTCGGAGCCCATCCTGATTCAGGTCGTCGCTCGTTCCATCGGTTGCCTTCGGCTCCCGGCCCAACTGTGTGTTGACAAAATCGAGCACATGTGGCGCACAGCCTGCCTCGCGGTTGATTGTTGGCCGACTGCACGGGTGTTCTCCGGCCCCTTCCCGCTAAGGGTAGAGAGTCGTCTTGAAGATTTGGTGGCTTCGCCAGAAGTGTTCCGCAAAGGCCGTGACCGGTGCTTGGTTCTCACTGTGATGCCAGAGACTCGAGGCGGAGGCTCTAAGGACGAAAACCTCCAACTTGCCAAATCCAGAGTCGCGGCCCTCCTGCTTGACCGCGGCGTGCCACTGCCTGCCACAACCAAAAGTGTGGAAGATCTTGTCCCGGCCCTCGGCTCTTCTGCTTGCCTTCATGCTATGTCCCAGCATGATCCTAAGGATCAGTGGCAGTTGCTGTCTAAAAGTGCCCAAGC